GACAAATACTCGGGTGTTGTGTATGCATGTGTCATTGTATGCCATATGCCTCGTGCGAAGATGACTGCCTGCCACACAGCACATGCCACACTCGTTCTTCTTTAAGTATTCTTACCTCTTATGCCTCTGTTCCGGAAATGTTATGTTCTCTTGGTCCTTCAATCCACTTATGCTAACTCTTTCATTCCTCTGATAGGCTGGTTGTGCACTGCAAAGCAAGACAGTGTGTCCTTGAAACTGTACAGAATACATCTTTTTTCCAGCATATGAACAATGCTGGTGGTGCTGCTTCTGAGTCCTGAATGGAGGAATTTACATAGTTTCTGGCTGAGTGGAAGAGTGGTTTAACTAAAAGATGTGTAGGTCTAGGGGTGGAGGGTGCCGTGGTACAGTTGCATCTTTGATTCCTACTCTACCCCCAAACCTCAGCAGCATTTCTATTCAGGCGGTGCTGAGAGAGTCAATTGACTCCATGGCTTATTATAATCTACCTGGTTCCTGGTAATCTATTTTCATTCCACAGGTGGTAATGATCCTCTCTCCTTGTTAACAGTCTTAATGTTCCACTGTTCAAACTTATCTTTTTGCCATTGCTGTCTGTTAGCCACTTCCTGGTAATGTCTCACTTTTATTTTATTGCCCTGCCAACTGTTTTTAATTCAAGCTAAAAATCAGGGGTAACAATAATATTAGCTCAGGTGAAGTATTAGTGGCACTGTAAAAAAGACTAGAATTTGTTTTACAAATTTGAATGAGAGGTATACATTAAACTATAATGACTACAGGAAGAATGAAACAATATATTTGGACTTTTTTGACCATTTTTGCCTAGGGTGTTGTGTTTTTAAAACTTAATACAAAATCTAGACAATTCATGAACATTCCCATAAAGTTGCATTTGCTTTGCTTAGATCTAAAACTGAATAATACTGAACTAGGTCCCGGAGCTTATTAGTAAAGCTTCTAGTTTCTTTTTAACTGGAGAAAAATGTGTCATGTTGTATGTGATGACGAGCCACCTCATTATCTGCATCCCTCTTTTCAAAATCCTTGATCCACTCATGTGTGGGTCAGATCCCCAGATTTTGTAAAATGGTGGAGCTCCACTAGCTTCAGTGGAACGATGCCAAATTACATCAGCAGAGGAAGTGGCCCATCTGTATGTACACACAGGGTGCATCTACACATGAAATTAATGCAATGCAATAAACTCTGGAGCAGTTCGAGCTGGAGTCAGCTGCTCCCAGGTTCAGAGTCTACATGTATGCCCAGGACAGCAACAGTTTGAGCCGGGGCGGAGCAGCCCCAAGATGGCAGCAGACTTGGGGGGGCAGACACAGGCTCTGGGTGGCAGTGTAGGGTGATGGAGGGCCTGGCTGGGGTGCAAGAGCGCTAAAGTGCAGAGTTGTGCGGCAGGCAGCCCCACACTTTAGCACTCTCATGCCCCAGCCAGCCTGTCACCATCTATATGTGCACTTTGTTCCACTTTATTACTCCACCTTATGATAGTGCTGTCCCTGACAGTATTATCCTATGGCAGAGTTAATTAATTTACTGTGCTATAATACCAGCACACGTGTAGACAGAGATGCTTTACTCAGGAACTAATTAGTCAACTCTGCAGTAAAGTGCACATGTAGATGAATCCACACGGTGCTTGACAGAAACACTTAAACTGTAATCGGAGAAATAATCCACAAAGTCTATGCCACAAAAATCACAGTACCTGAACATAGCCCTCCTAAGACTAGAAAAGAATTGAATTGCAGTCTTTGCTGTTGTGCTTCTCTCTTTGCTTATTTGGCTGGCAACCTGGGGGCCTCCCATTGATTGAAGTGGCATTGCACGCCTGTAATTGTGGCGGCGGAACATGGCTCACATTTTTGGAAAATGTTCAGTTTGAGGTTAATTGAAGTGGCCCTAGAACTTCAATAACATTATGATTATGAATGACATCCGCCTTTACTCACCATTTACTCTTGAACACTTCTAAAACGTGGGGATAATTTTAGAGAGAAAATAATAGAAGGTCTGCTGGAAATGTTACAGAGGGACTACAGAAAATGTAATGGTGGCTCCATAAAAAAATATTAAGAAACTGAGTATAAAATGGCCTATTTCTCTGTAAAGCTTCTGTACATGATTTTTACAGGTGTTGTATGCGTTGTTTTCTTGTTGTAAGGAAAAATTAATGACAGGCCCATCTGGAAAATACAGTCAAATGAGCTATTCTGCCACCCATACAGTGGAATGTCCATGTCACACAATTCTGAATTTAAGCAGACGCTCTCCTGGAAAAATAGTGCTGTGTAAACTCCATCATGATAGGCTTCCTCTCACAGTTTTGTGGAAGCCAGTCAGGTAACATACCTCTGCAGTCTAGTCTTCTTAGACAAATCTTCTGCATCAAATTGTTTTGCCACATCTTCATGGATTATCTGAAGTAACTTCTGTAAGTCTGATGAAAAAATATATTAATAAAATCTGCCAACTAGATATTGCAATCCTTCCTTCCTTTGCAAGGATTTCTGTATACACTGGCCTCAATTTCTAAATATGCTCAGAGGAGAGTAGAGCCCAACCTGAAGCACCTTTAAAAAGGTTTTATATTCAGTACTTCTGAATAGCCAGGTTCCTTTAGGATGTTTCATGCTGAGCACCCAAAACAGAACCTAAAATCATTAGCCACCTGTTGAAGTTAGGTCTTTGTTCTTTTAGTTCTGGAATAAGTAACAAATAAGAAAATATTCAACCCTGTTAACATTAATCAATACTTATTGTGTATAAGAAAAGTGGGCAACTTTTAATAAACTGTATCAGTTGAAATTCAGATCCCTACTTTCATTCCAAAGATGTATCAATACATGTCATACTTAGTTAACTTTGTCACTATATCTTTCTTCTTTAAGAAAATATAGCCTAACAGATGTTAAATTCCATATCTACCTCTCATTTTCACGATATATTTAAATAATTCACCCTCAAAAAATGCTTCTTTGGTTCTACCTTTCCTGTCCAACTATCACACTATCTTTCCCATTTCTTTCAGATGATCTCTTTCATTAATGCTCCCTTTGTCCATTTCTCCTTCTTGTGACTTAATTCCCCTATGTTTCCCCATCTCTCTTGAACAGCCTCTCTCTCTCTCCTCCAGGGTCCTTAATGAAGTCATTGTTCTTCAAAATCCCTCTCAAACATGTCTTTTTACAAGCTTTCCACCATTAGACCATTATAGCCTTGATGACCAAATACTGAACACACCCATCCAAGAAATACAGTAAGATGATCAACCCTATTTTGTCATTTTAGCACTATCCCCACTTCTCATTCCCTAATGCCACACATTCTGTCATCTGTTGTCATCAGTACTTGTGCTATTTATAGAATTTGGAGTTGCTCCCACAAGGTGCTGAATATGTCCTACCATGTTGAATTTGCAAGTCAGTGAATGCAACAGTACATTCCTCAGCATAGGGACTTTTCCTTCTCTGTGAAACACCATGCATAATTCAAATATTGCATGGGAGGTTTATAGAGTACATACATGGACTTAACATGCTGTCACACAACATCGAACAAGACAAGATTACAAGAAATAAGTGCCAATAGTTATGTTCTTATATTCAGATATAGGCATCTAAATGAAGTGGCTTGATTTTCAAGAGTTACAAGCCCCTGGTCAGAAACTCTGGAGCTTAAATCCAGACAGTTTCTAATAGTGACTCGCAGTTTGAACTAGTACTCTTCACTATGTGACTCTGATCCTGCAAGAAAACTGGGTTCCATGACTTAGGGCCCCTCTACACATGCAGGTAAAGGTGCAATGGGATCTGATGCATGATCCATGCAATTGTGCCTCCTGCCATGCCACAAGTATATAGCAAGAGATGCAATTATGGGATTGTGAATCAGATCCCATTCATGCCATATTGCCAGTGCAGCGGAAGCCCAATCCTAGGCTCCCCCTGGACTGGGAAGAACCTGACCTGGGCTTCCAGCCAAGGGGGCGACCACAACTGATGCAGTGTCCCAGCTGCAGGGGTGCTCCAGGAACCCCCACAGCTGGGAGACCACAGCTGCCACAGCTGGGAGACTGCAACTGATGTGGTGTCCTAGCCTGGGGGTGCCTGGAGCACCCCCATACCTGGGACACTGTATCAGCTGTGGCTGGGATCCCTGTTACCTGCTGGGGCTCTCAGCCACAGGGGGCCCTGGTTACGTGTTCAATTAATGGTATGATAGGAAGCAGCTACAAAGTTATTACTCACATTCTGTGGAATAACTTTGTAGCTTATTCCTCTTTTTATCACACCATTAACTGATTGAACATGTGGCTCGGTGACCACTTAAAGATGTGATTAACTGGTTAATCATGTCTTAAATGTGATGTATAGATGGGGCTTTACTCAAGTCAGTAAGTGTGTGTGACACTATGCAATTTCTCTACCTCAATTCCCTATCTGAAGACCAGTAACTTACACAGTTTCAAATACTGTGGAAATAATAATCCTTACAGCATCATTTTGTATTAGCTTAGTATTACTAGAAAAGACAAAACTGCAAAGGCAGATGGCCTTGCAGTTAAGGTGCTGGATTGTGACTCCAGAGATCTGAGTCTGATCACATATCTGCAACACACTCCCATACACTTGGAAAAGCCCCTTAATCTTTGTGCTTCACTTGAATATCTGTAAAATGGGGGGTACTACTACTTATCTACTTCACAGGGATCTATGGTGGATACATCTATTAACAAATGTGAGGGATTCAGATTCTAGAGTGGTGAACTCCATGGAAAAGCTCAAAATTAAAATATGAGCATTAAAATGAAGGTCCCTTGCACAAATATATAAAAACCCCACTTTTACATGTGGAAACTGAGAGCCTAAACTGTCAGTTAAAAAGCTTTGGCAGATGCAATCCTGTTAGTATTTAATTCCTCTAAATATTCCTGCGTATTTTTTCTGAGGGTGAAGAAAACGTCTGTCATTTGAAATGATTTGCACATACAAATACTTCATTATGCAGCAACCATGAAAAATCAGGCTTACATTTAGCACTTTGTTATTCAGAGCAGGGATCAGAGAGTCTGTACACATTAAAAGAATTTTTTAGATGTGGCAAAGAAAGAACGCTTGGAACACTAATCTACTTTTATAAAACCTTTGCCTGATTAGATGGAGACTGAATAATAATTTAGACAACCACAAGACTCTGTGCCTGAGGATGGCAGCTTCCATGTATAATGTGTTAGCATGATGTGACTTACAGAAGCTCTCAACAAGTGTAGTGCTCACCCTCCCAGCAGTGCTGAAAATCAAACTTGTGGAAGTAAGTTCTATATGGCAGCAGGTACACTACAATACAAACTAAATTAAGACTGGGTAAATGACTTCATATTCAATTACAGACTCGCTTCTAAAGTGAAACAAAAACCCTCTGTAAGGAATATGCACAATTTTTTCTGCTAAGTTGCCTACTTTACCACACGGTGTTTCCCGTATATTTTTAAGTGATTGTATTGTCTCAAAAGTAAATCTGTATGGATGATAGAAAGCCTCATAATCTATTTGAACACAAGGCTACAGGGTGACTGAGCTGTTTTAATCTAGTTCCTAATCTGCCCATGAAGCATCCTATAGTCATGACCCTGTGTTAAACATGATGCTGTAGCCACAGAATTCACCACAGACTCCAAGTCCTGCTGCATAGATGATCCCCAACAATGAAGCTTTTATTTTTCTCAAAGAAAGTTCTCAGCTATTATAGCCGTGATGTATTCATTTTCTATCTCAAAGGTTTACAGTGTCCTCTTGTTCCTGAAAACAGGCAGCCTGAAACAACTGTTCTGAAGTGGCAATTCCTCCTATTCATCCCAGTGGGCCATTATCCCCAAAGCCCAATGGTGACAATATAAATGTCAGTTTAAATGATTGTTTTTGCAGAACTAGGATGGTCCTATTCTTACACATTAAGGCTGGGTGAGAAATAGTGCAGAAGTCAAGTGGTTGACTGAATAATGTCAAGGGTAAATAAACTAGGAAATTAAAACCCCTTGAATTTTCAAATCACCTCCACTGTTGGTCACAAGAGAGAGAGTATATACAGATTCAATTCTTCTTCAGTGCCAAAAGCTTCACCTACTATATGAATGCTAAAATTCCATACCAGCTCACAAGTCTTCTTTGGTGGAGAAAGCACCAGCATTTTTAAGCTTAGTTGTCAACAAGTCTATCTCCCACTCCCCAAGAGCATAAAGGTAATGGCATGTAATGTTAGAATAGTTCATATGAGCAACTATAATAAACGGACCATAGATTTTCAGAACTAATGTTGTAAAAAAAATATAAAGAAAACAAAAACTAAATACCCAGTGCATTTTAATATGTCCTTAGAGCTGCTGGAAAATTTCCGTTTACTTTCAGAATACAGTTCCTAAGGGTGTGGCTACATGAAACGCTTTACTGCGCAGTAGCATAGTTTATTGTGCAGTAAGCATGTGTGTCTAAATGTGCACATGCTTACTGCTCAGTAAACCTTGCAAATGCAAGTAGCAAATTTACTTGTGATTAGTTACTATGCAATAGCGCTTGTGTAGATGCCTGACTGGGAGCAAATCGGGTGCGCCCGCGCGCGCCCCCCCCCCCCCCCCCCCAGCCAGTCACCAGGGGGCAGGAGATTGCTCCCTGTCCCTGGGAGCTGCCTGCTGCCAGGGTGGGCTCCTCCAGTGGAGCCAAGGTGGGGACTCTGTTCCCATGCCCCAGCAGCAGGGAGCTCCAAGCCCCCAACTCTGAGATCACAGATCTCGTGCTGGGAGATAAGGATCTGCCAGTCCAAGCCATGCGATTGTGGAGCTCACGTTGGGAGATAAGGATCTCCCAGTGCCAGCCCCATGGTTGCGGAGCTGGTGCTGGGAGCTTTCTGCTGGTGAGGGCTGGGAAGCCTGTTTCCCACCCAGCTCCATGATTATGGAGCTGAGCAGGAAACAGGCTCCCCAGCCCCTGCCCTGTGACTGTGGAGTGGGGGCTAGGAACTGTTCGGGTCAGGGGCAGGTCCCAGCCCTGTGCCCTGATTGGTTGATCAAGGTGTGGGGCTTGGAAAGAGCTGCAAGGGTGGGGCAGATCCCAGCCCCCCGCCCCAATCCGCCAGTGGGGCAGCTAGCAGCAAGCTAGATGCTAGCTGCCCCACTGGCGGATTGGGGCGGGGGGCTGGGATCTGCCCCACCCTTGCAGCTCTTTCCAAGTCCCCTGCCCCTGAGCAGGAAGCCAGGGCCAGGAGCTCCCTGCTGCTGGGAAAGGGGGAATATTGTCCCTACCCCAGCAGCAGGCAGTCCCTGGGGACAGGGAGCAATGTGCCAGCTCTGGCCAGGATACAGCTGTCTCCTGGCTCAGTGCTCCCTGCCAGCCTCTGGGCTAGCACCCAGGGGGAGTCTAGAGCTCCACCTGATGGTGGCAGGGGCCCACTGCAGGGCCACAGGAAGTGGGAGCTGTTTTCTGCATTAGCAGCAAATCCGCTCCTTTTTCTCAGCATGTGTAAATACTTGCCCGGGAGCATTTTCTTGCAAGTAGTTTACTTATGAGTAAACTGCTCCTGGATCTAATGCACGTAGATACACCCAAATGTGTAGATACACCCTGAGTGCTGCAGAGATTAGGAGTATTTTTGTGCAGAGTATATGCATGTTGTGTCTATAATTCACAGAAGAGTCTTGTCTAGTTACCTTGCTTTCCATAAGAAGCAGGATGGTCCATTGGGTAGGGCACTAGAATGGGAGTCAAGACAGTTGTGTGTGGCATTCTCATGCGTGGGGAGGAAGTCACTTCTCTGTTTCCCTTTCTGCCTTGTCTGTTAACAATGTAAGCACTTTGTAGGACTGTTTCTTACTATAGGTTTGTACAGAATCTAGCATACTGAAGCCTTAGTATTCTTTGGATGGTACTGGGTCCATACACATGAACAATTAGCACATAGCAATAAACTCTGGTGCAGTGCACGCCGGAGTTTACTGCTCCCAGGCACAGCGTTTACATGTCAGCCTGGAACTGCAGCACATTGAACTAGGGAGGGGCAGCCCCAGCTGGTACGGATCCGGAGGAGTTAGCCTGCCAGCCTGGGGCTGTTGTGCTCCAGTTCAACATGCTGCAGAGGAGCTGGCTGGGGCATGAGGGTGTTACAGTGTGGGGCTAGCCAGCAGGTAGCCCCCTCATTGTAGCAACCTTGTGCCCTAGCCAGTCCTGGTTACCATCTCTATGTTTGTTTTGGCACATGTAACTGCTTCACTGTAGGATAGTACTTGCCCCGGACAGTACTATTGGTGGATCTAATTAATTCACTGTGCCCTAATACAGGCACACATGTAGCTGGTGACACTTTACTGTGGAGCTAATTAATCAGCTCCGCAGTAAAGTGCACGTGTAGGTGTACCCACTGTATTACAAATAGATGCTGCATTCTTCTGAACACACATAACCCTCAAATTTAAGAATGAACATATATTTTCTGAATAGAGTCATTCATCCACTCTACTCAGTGCTGGTGAGGCCTCACCTTGAGTACTCAATCCAGTTTTGGGCATTACACTTCAAGAAAGATATAGACAAACTGGGAAGAGTTCAGCAGAGAGTAACAAAAATGATTAGTGGCCTAGGAAACATGACTCACAAAGAAAGGTTGGAAAAACTGGGATTATTTAATCTGGAGAAAAGCAGACTGATGGAGGGATTTGATAACAAACTTCATATATATAAAGGGTGGTTATAAAGAGGATGGTGATAGACTCTGTGGCTGCCAGGGAGAACAGGACATGAAATAACGGTCTTAAATTGCAGCAAGGGAAATTTAGGTTAGATATTAGGAAGAATTTTCTAATGAGGATGATGCTTAAGCGATGGAACAGATTATTTTGAGAGTTTGTGGACTCCCCATTCTTTGAAGCATTTAAGAACAAGTTAGAAAAACATGTGGATGAGGTGGTTTAGACAGGCATGATCTTGCCTTGAACAGGGGGTTGGACTACATGACCTCATGAAGTCCCTTCCAGACCCCTCTTTTCTTTTCTTTTTTTGTGTGATGATTCTGTGGCTCTCAATTTAAGAACAAACAAATAAAGAAAAAGCAAACAAATTTAAAAAAGCATAAAAAACTGCATATTTACATTTAAGAGCTGCAGTATGTAAAACACGGCACTTTGTAGTGAAATGCTATATATGTAACAGGACAAATCTCTCCTGTTTATCCTCTAAGACTGAGGAGTCTTCTTTATCACTTGTTATTTCTCAAACAACATCATTTTCTATTTCATGGAGCTGGAGATGCAACATTTTCTAAAGGAACACCTCGCAGGCTATGTTGTCAGTGAATTCCATGCCTTAAAAATCCATTCACCCAGGATTGGAAGAGGTACAAGGAGCATTTGTCCAGTTGCCATCAGCTGGTTTTTGCCATTCACAAGTCTTTTGTGATTAAGATTTTTAAGTGATATCTTTAAAAGGCTTATTTGCACAGATGTACAATAGCTGAAGTTGTGATGTCATTATACCTGGGATAATAGGCAGGTCTGTTTTGTGGTCATTAAATACATCAGTTGTGTGTCCTTCGTAAGCATCCATCACAAGCATAGCATTCAGTTTTACCAGGGAACCAGACTGCTGAAACAATACTTTTTAAATCCAATCTAATATAAACTCCTCTGTCATCCATTCTTTTACCTGTATTTGAACAAAAGTTCCTTTTGGGAAATTTTCCCTTGGCCAGCTTTTGTGCTCAAAGATAACATACAAAGGTTGTTTATGGCTGTCTGCTGTCACAGAGAGCATTACAGTTATCTGTTGCTTTTCATTTCCTTTTGTGAGCCTTCATACCTGTTTTTCTCCCATTTTATGAACTATGGTATTGCTCAGCACGTTGAAAAATATGGAAGCCTGGTCAGCATTTTTGGATATGTCCAGGCTGGTACTGTTAGATGACAATATATAAATAATAAAACACTTAAACTATAAAAGTTTGTCTTTAAATTGTTTAGGAGGCTTCTGACATATGGAGGTTTGCCTGTGTAATGAGAAGCCTTGCCACTTCATAAACCTCTGCACCCAATCCAAACTTGAATTAAATTGTGAATGTACTATGCCAGCTGCATGTGCCACCTCACCAGCTTTTACACAAATCACTTCCTGATGTACAGGAAGGCCAGAACTTAATTGTCCAATTAGAAAATCACTGACACTTCCCTATTTGTGGGAACCCATGCTTTGGTCTGCTGAATCCTTTACATTTTTTCTTAATTTAGAAAGTTTTGATTTTAATAGTCTCAATTTCCTGACACAAGCTTCATTAACCATATACTTCCTTCCTGCTACTCTATTCCCATTTAGTTTGTTTTGCAAATTTTGTAATTTTAGTTTAAAACAAGCTGACAATGAGCTATGACTCCCAACAGGTTCTAAAATGGCTGACTGTATGTCACAGATTATTTAAGATTGGGAAGTCAGATTCCATCTTGTGTGTCTTGTGGCATTCACAGCCTTTTTCACTGTAATCTCTGCACTGTATTTATTTTATTGCAATTATTTAATAATTACATTGGATTATTTACTACAATTACTCTTTTTACTCCTCCTTTCTTTTGTGTACTGGTTTTAGTTATATTTTAGACACAGGCCATTTTAGAAGAAATATTTCTGTATTAATAAAACAAAATATGCTATTAACAGCAGCAATAATAATTCACAAGTAACATGTACAGTTTTATAAACTCCAAATTAAATACATCAGTATTTTCATTGTAGAATTTTAGTGGATCAGTTGATTTCTGAAGAATTAGGGAACAAAATTTTAATTTTGTCATCTTTTATTGACAATCACAGAATTGTGGGTCATATGCCAGTTGAATAGTCTGATTTACGGAACATTGCATATCTATTAGTAACTTGTCCATAATGGGTTCAGAATGCTCCTGCATAGGAAGAATTGCTGAAATGAAAATATAGAATGAGCTTCTGAACGATTTGTTCCATTACTGGCTACTCTAGGCAAAACTTTTTACTTTTTAGTACGACAGGGGAGGTTAAACTTCGGAGTCTGCCAGTCAGGTTTTCTTTCTGTATTAGTGCTTAATAATAGAATGTGCTAATCTACTGACACATAATATTTGCTTGTAGTGAGAGTCTGATGTGATCTAACAAATAAAACTCAATTCCACTAAAAATTAATCTCCAAGGAGGAAGCAGGCGGAATACGGAGAATACAACAAGCTGAATTGTTAGTAAATAATTTTCTCCTATAGTACCTCATCACAAAAGCAAGCACCTGCATGGAGAGTGCTCTTGGCATGTAAGTGAACTTAAGATGGAGATGAGCTTAACTTATAATGCAGCCCCCAGAACACTATTGTTGAAGGCCATATCCACTGAGGTGGACAAATCCAATTTGTGCTCCCATGTGAAGGTGAGTGAAGTCTAACTTGCAACTTTGATGTTTTCCCATGAAAGAAGTGCTGGCCCTATTTGCTCATCGGGTAAATATTGCTCAATGGAAATGACACTTTACTGATCTCTAGTGACTTGCTGAGCGTTCAGTGAATGAAATTTTGATTGCAAATAGAAGTAATTCATTGGAAAACTGTGATCTGCTGGTCAATATAATAAACACTTTGCATTTTTATAGTACTACCCATCTAGAGATCTGAAAACATTACACAAACCTTAACAATTATGGTTCTTAATGCCTGTGAGTAAGCTGCATTTCAGTTCTTCCACTGTGCAGACAGAAAGAATAAGGAAGAGAGAGGTTAAATAACCTAGCCAAAGTAACACAAATGTGTGCTATAGCCAGGATAGTATTTAAGCTACGAAGGCCATATCCTTCATATCTTAAGTAACTTAAGTAACTGTTGAAACAAATCAATTGTTATTTGCAGCCAAAAAGGGCAACTTACAATAGTTAACAGGCTCTTCATCTTCTTTGGTTTGCTTACTCTGCATCGACTCACTATCTTCAAATTCTCTGGTACCATCAGAGGGAGCTGTGTTCACATTGGCATAGTCTTCAGAGCTGGGGACAAGGGAAGGTGTGCTGCCAGGAGGTGTTCGACTGTGGGAAGATGACGGACCACTAAGCCGAGAGATGCTTATGACAGATGTTCTCTTGTTTGTCTTCCTGCTAAGCTGAATACGTGGTGCTTTCTGGCTGGATTTCTTGCACAGAAGGAAGAAGGAAAAGAAAGGAGGGGATTTCTGTGACAATGTCTGATAGGGATGGTACACTGTATTTCCATATCTCATTTTAATACTGGAGTCCTCCAGGGGTTTTTGTACCCCACAATTGCCAGCAGTGAATTAAAAAAGCTGGTCAAGCTACTCACTGAGAAGTCTCCTTCCCTGGTTATGGCTTTGATATTAATGAACTAATATAATTTGTAAACAAGTAGCACTGAATCTTCACAGAGGTTTGATATAAAAGAAAGCCTTAACTTTTTCACCTCTAAGGAGAAAAAAGGTCAACGCTGTGGTGATAAATGTTCAAGCCTCCTCCTCCTCCCTACCACATATCCTGAGAAATGAATTTCCTGTGTCAGAAATATGAAACCTCAGCAGACTGAAATCTGTAGGCTTGATAATCAGAACAGTATGTCTCACATGGCAAATACCCCTGCAGGGATCCAGATCTCGATCAAAGGCTTCATATCAAATATGAAACACCATGTTTAAATAATGTTCAAGTAAATGACAACAGCAAGGAAATTCTGTCATTAATTCAGGTGGGAAGAAAAATAACACACACAGCAACTTGACTGCATGAAGGCACATCAGTTTCAGCATCACTTTGGATTTTCTGGCTTTTGATGATTTGAAACCTAACTTTAAAAAAATAGACTGGAAATCCTTCTATTTAGAAAAATCTCCAACTATTATAAGACTTACTGAGTGATGTCTCCCCTCTCTTTTCTCTTACCATAAAGGATATTTGCATGAAAACGTGAACTTTGTCTTTTTAGATGTTCAGGAATACTTCGTATTCACTCCTTCACTGAAATCATATTCCTCTGCTTATCAGATCATATTAACTAGCTGTGATGTCACACAAGACAAACTTTCAGGTGTGGAATAGGAGCAGATGAAGCCCATGGGATGATATTTCAGATTCTAAACAAACTTTCGTTCTGAGTTGTGAATTATGTCTTGGAGGTATTCTTTTGGGGCAAGGTAAGGAATAGGAAAGTTAAGTAATTTGTTGAAGAACACACTATATGGCCAATAAAAAACCAGGAACAGACTCTAAATGTCCTGTTTCCAAGTCCCCTGGTCTAATCCCTAGCCAACTCTAACTCCCTTTGTTTTAATGCAAATACGCTTGTAATTAAAAAAAGTGAGAGAATACTTACCATTGCCTCAAGAAATATGGGTTATCTCAGCAGAACAGTACCAAAGGTTTCCAGTATGCTGCCTTTAGTTAATTTGAAGTTGTCTTTTATAGTTTCATTTCTCCTCAGTTAATGATTTAATTTTTCTTTGTTTACAAAACCCTTCAGCTAAATGGCTCTATTTTCTCTTTCC